CAATAATCAGTGTTGAGTTCTACTGTAAGGTTAACCCTGCCTGCTTTAAATGTTTCAAAATGATTAACAGTAGAAAATATTTTAAATTTAGAAAAGTAATTAAAAAGTAATCCAATGTAATCAGTTACATTACTTTATAAAGTAATTTAAATAGTTACACTACTTATTAATATTTTTGTATATATTTACACAAAATGTAAACATTATGTAAAATTCCTTCATTAAAGAAGATCTGCATATTTATTTATATATTTATTTATTAAGCAGAAGATTACTGCTACCTAGTTGAAAACAAACACTTATAAAATGAACATGACATGACATTACCACTATGACCAGTAGATGGCTGCAGAGGATCACTGATTCATGTATTCACTTGCCGTTTCCACTCCCTTATGTATAGTTAATCAAAGGGTGAGCGATTTATGTAGTTACTTGATAATAATATTTTGAGCTCATTTAAAATTCTAAACAACAACAACAACAACAAAAAAAACTTTGTTTATATTTTGATTATTTATAAACTTTTATTAAAGAAATGTGTAAAATGTTGCTCATCAGAATCATGGGTTCGATCGAAAAATGTAGGCCTGTATGTTAAATGCAGTGCAGTTTTCTCTGGATAAAAGTAGCCTATGTAAACGTAAGAGCCCTTGAGCAGATCAGATAAGACCAAATGAATGAATGAATGAATAGTAGGCTAATAATTATAATAATAATGATGATGATAATAACAAAGAAAAAATTAATGTGTTATTTTCACACATTTCACACGCATTAAGGTTATCAGAATTAAAAGTTAAATCTGTCATTGCAGCTTTTTGAAGTGTGAATTTTGTTTGGAAGGATGAAATGATAGTAGGCTACATTTTCGTCAGTTATTTTATCGGTTATTAAATCAGATACATAGAAGCACAGTAAAATTACATTTATTTGAATGCATTTGTGAGAGCGCGATTACGTGTAAATGAGTCCTGCCTGTCTGTGCAACGTCTCTCTACTAATAGAGCTGTGGATTTTGATTACTTCAAAACACAAAGAAATGTTTGGTATAACTTTTCTGTTTCTAAGCATTTTTATTGACAAATCACAGGGCAGCGTTGACAATATTTTTTGTTTCTGTGTGTGAGTGATCCGTTATGTGTCTGTACATGTGTGCGTGCAGTACAATCCTTGTAGGCAGAACTAGTTTAGAATGGCTATAGTTATGGCATTAATTGTGCTAGTTATTGAGCGGTAGTGGAGCACTCTGAGAGCGAGCGAAAACCAGAATTCTCAGACTTTCAAAAGATCCCCGCTTCAGTTAAAATCACGCTGCTCCGCTCTCAATGCACTTCGATCCCATACGCTGCTTTGGGGTGGCAACTGGGGTGGCAAAGCTCATTTTAAGGGTGGCAGTTGCCACCCCGTGCCACCCTTGTGGACACGCCACTGTCCTTTAGGTCCTTTTTTCAAATTCCAAGTGTGTTTTCATGTGTCTTCACTGAGGAGAGGATTGAGTTTGGCCACACCGCCATAAAGCACAGATCGGTGGAGTGTTGCAGTGATGTTTGTCCTTCTGTAGGTTTCTCCTGTCTCCACATATATAAAATATGTAATTACACATAAATAAAATATGTAATTACTTCATTATTTAAAATAGAGCATTTTTACTAGTGGTCTCAATAATTTTGAACCCTACTGTTTCATTTAAATTAAAAGCAAAAGAGATATACTCAAAATGTAAAAAAAATAAAATAAATTAATTCAAAGATGACTGAAAACAAACAAACAAAAAATGTGCACTATACATTAACAAAACTGTTTAGACTAGTAGAGTTTAGAACTGTCATATGGAAGCACTAACACTCAAATAGCCAAATATCATCCAACATATCAGTCCACTGGATACAATGAAATCCATCTAATACAGATTAATTACAATTACAGGAGGGAACAGACATACTTACAGCTGAGGGACCTGAAATATGGCACTGTCCACAGTGTTAGTGCCCAAACTATCTTCACTGTCCAGAGTGTATGCATCCCCATCGATTATTTTGTGGTTTGTTTTATCTATATAAATACACACATACACAAACAGACAATTAGACATGAGCCATATTAAGCAAGGGTCTCGTTATTTACACTACTAACTTAAACACAATTTATGCAAAAAGAATGGAAATGCACTTTGCACACAAAGTTACATATGGACAGAAAAGATAAGAGAACTAAAAAAAGAGACCACAGTGAAATGAAAGGCAATGCACTCTTTTTTAAAATAACGTTAAACATCGGTTTAAAAACATAACAGACTTTCATGCAAAGTTAATGGCTGCCTTGATTTTAGATTTAAACATTTTCGTGTTTTGCTTCTATGAAGGAGGCGTGGTTTGTGCTCATTTTATTCTTAAATTTAGAGAGAGGGAGGAGTCACATGTCTCTCACCTCCTCTAGCAGAGATCCCTCCATGTTGGTCATCTGACTCGATACTTTGCTCTCATTGGCTGGAAGATGTTGTGTAATCAGTATGGGGCCAGTTCTGCCTTTAGATGGGGCTGTCTCTACACGGACTCATCCAGAGATTGCATAGCCACCCTCGCATGAAACCAGCTCATGATTTTTACACACCACAGTCATGCGGACATAGATATGGGTTTGAATTGGGGATAAGGGCCTGGGATTTTACTTGCAAAGGGGCAATGAGGTAACAGAGGGGTTCATCATGCTCTGGATGTCAGTGTGAAGTGTTTTCCATATACACTCAGGTGTACCATAAATTTAGCCTCCCCATGTTGGCAGGAAAAGTTTGTGCTGTACTTTGAGGGATTTTTTTATGCAACAAATGCCTCCTCTGCTACTACAGAACTTGATATATTACAAAGAAACACTAAGCCTGAATGTCTGGCATGAAATTTTATCTGGGAAATAAAATCTTTAATTGCTGACCCAAGTTTTACGACAGCTGAAGGCAGGTTTGTGATATTCGATTTACGGATGGGAGTTTAACAGACATTGGTTGTTTAAAATATATAGGGTTTTATGGGCTTTATTAAAAATTAAGATCTTTATAATGAGATCATTTCTATTTTGCCACTCAGTATGCAAATATCAATATAAATGCTATGAAGTTTAAAAAGTGCTTTAGGACAATCTAATTTTTCACTTTTTTTAAAGAAATAGTTCACCCAAAAAATACAAAAATTAAGCCATCCAAGATGTAGACGAGTTTGGTTTTTCAGATTTGGAAAAATTTTGCATTACATGACTTGCTCAGTAATGTTTCTTCAGCAGTGAATGGGTGCCGTCAGAATGAGAGTCCAAACACCTGGTAAAAACATCATGGTAATCCACACGACTCCAGCCCATCAATTAATTTGCGAAGCGAAAAGCTGCGTGTTTGGATTCTCATTCTGATGGCACCCATTCACTGCAGAGGATCAATTGGTACACAAGTGATGTGATGTAATTTCTCCAAATCTGTTCTGATAAGGAAACAGACAAACAAAGGTGAGTAAATTTCCCCGAAAAATGTTAGTTTTGTGTGAACTATTGCTTTAATAGTCAATAAGATACTTTCTATTTTGTGGATTATTAAGTTAAATGTTTTAATTTTGTGATTTTAAGTGAAGGCTTCAATTTATTAACAAAATGATGAAAACAAAACCAAAAACAAAACTATGTGTCAGAAAGGTGAGGACGAGAGGGAATGGAAAAGAAATAGCAGAAGAGTGCGAGAACGAGAGGACTGACTGAAAGGAAGAAAGAAAGACAGAGAACAGATAGGCTGTGAGCTCATGTGAAGTAGTAAGTGTTACTTGGCTGGAGTCGGGCCTGTTGCACCGCAGCCTCAGCTGCAGCGATGGCGTTCCCGGCTTCTTCCAGGTGGGCCTGGGTGACGCTGCCTTTGCTCTGGCTGCGTGAGGGGCCGTGGGAGCGCAAGTGACCCTCAGAGGAAGATTTGGAGCTGCCAGGACTACTGTGGGACTTTTCTATTGTAGGGACCTGTGTATCTGTGAACATACAGTCCATGCCCTCCATTAATCCAGCACTAATCCCAAATATTAAACCGTCCATCTCCTGTTCATTATACAAGTCAGTAAGTTTGTTTTTGTTTTTAAAAGAAATTAATACTTGTATTCAGCAAGGATGCATTACATTCAAAAGTGACAGCAAAGATATAATATTACAAAAGATTTCTATTTAAAATAAACAAAGTTCTTTTGAACTTTCTATTTGTCAAAGAATCCTGAGGGAAAAAAAACCATATCATGGTTTCCACAAAGATATTAAGCAGCACAACTTCTCAGGTTACTTATGTAACCATGGTTCCCTGAGTAGGGAACGAGACACTGCGTCCTCTAGGGGTCGCTATGGGGAACGCCTCGTCATGACCCGTGTCTGAAGCATACATTGAAAAAAACACCAACTCGTTGGCCTGCGACAGCCATGACGTCACTACCGGTGCGACTGTAGTATAAATAGGCGCCGGGAGCACACATCATTCACTTCTTCGTCTGAAGCTTGCGTCCGCAGTAGTGTTGCTTTCGTCAACGAAAATTATGACTAAATATCGTCGTCAACGAACCTTTATCACGTGACGAAAACGAGACGAGACGCAACGTAAATGCTGGTCATGTGACGATGACTATAATTAAACGTATAATGCAATATTGTTGACGAATAAAAACGAGACTAAATGTGGTTTACAAAATAAAAACTATGCTAAAATGTCTCTTCATTTTCATTGACCAAAACGAGACGAAACAAAATGTTATAATGTTATTTCGTCTCGTTTAGTCGCGTTATTATTATTGTTTTGCAGTATTTCTGTCTCCTGTGTCTCACTTCAGGGGCTGCATCAGGTCGCACTGCGCAGACGCAGGCGACGTCACTTCCTCAAGTTCCACTCGCGGCATTATTTAGAACAGTGTTTCCCAACCGGTGCCATGTCTGTCAAGAGCAGGGGTGCCGTGTAAAAAATCCCGCCGCCGATGAGCGCGAGAGGGAAAGCCCCTCTTTAAACTCATCGGCCAGGTTCACCTGAGATCCCCACGAGCTCATTCTCCTCCATGCCTCAGCAGCGGCAGGTTCTGAACCGCGGGGAGCAGATGGTTGCCCCTCTTTACTCGAAAAGAGAGACAAACGAGAACGGAGCTTTTTCATTGGAAAAAACTCACAATGCGCGCAGATTGCCCCCTCGAGGACATCGCGTGCGTGCTCTTCGCCCAAACAAACAACACATAGATCGTGTGTGTCATCTGGTGTCAAATAGCGATGACACGGACGCACACACCTTCTAAATGCTCTGCTAGAGCTCGCCATAATGAAAGAGATAGCTCTTACTTTTTCCTTGGAAATGCACGCTTCAAACAGAACAGTCAATGAAGACGAAGAAGAGAATGATGTGTGCTCCCGGCGCCTATTTATACTATAGTCGCACCGGTAGTGACGTCATGGCTGTCGCCGGCCAACGAGTTGGTGTTTTTTCAATGTATGCTTCAGACACGGGTCACGACAAGGCGTTCCCCATAGCGACCCCTAGAGGACGCAGTTCGAAGTTCCCATGAAAGGGAACTGGTTTCAGCATTGATGAGGATCGGCTCGATTTGAACATCTGACCTGATATGAACATCTGAGATCGGCTCGATTTGAGAAAGGGGTAAAGATATTAGTAGATTAACAAAAAAACACTAGGTGGATTTTTATCATTTTAGGGTGGTTGTGTACACATACTGCCAACACACATTTCAGTTCAAACAACTTGTAAAAGTGCAGCATTATATGACCCCTTTAACTGTTTTTGGTCAAATAAATGCAGGCTTGGTCACTGTAAGAGACTGTAAGAAAAAAAAAAGTTTTAAAAAATGTACTGGCTCCAAACCTTTTTTAATGGTATTCTAAAACAATTTGCACTAGTTCCCACCTGTGTGATTCCTGTTTGTATTTTTGTTTAGTATGCATGACCTACCTTTAGCAGGGTCAGGGAAAATTCCGTGACTTCGGCTCTTGATGACAGAGGTTTTAGGGGACTGCTGGTTCCCCGGTTGCCCTCCTTGACCTCCAGAACCTCCTGGCCCTCCAGGGCCCCCCTGACTGCCAGGGCCGCCCTGACCTCCGAGTCCCCCGGAGCCGCCGGGCCCCTGCGGAGGGTGGGTTCTTCCATGGTGAATACTCTCGCTTTGCTCCTTTAGGGGGTGCCAGCGAGGCGTGTTATCCAGCTGAGTCGTGTTTGAGAGATCAATGAGCACCTACAAAAAAAAAAAAAGTATTAATGATGTGTTAGATTTCAATTTACTCATCTGACTTCATAGAAATGTCTGTTTTCTAAACTGTTCTTTGGTGGATAATAATGTAAATAGATACTGACAGAAAAATGACTTAATAACAAATTTCATAGTAAACCCTGGTGCACAAGACAAAATGCTAGCATACTTTATATCACTTCTAAGGAATTTTGCAAATTATGTTTATCTCTGCCAAAAGGTCTTTTATTTTTTTGGTGCACGGAAGGACACTTTTATCTTGTAACACTCACTTCTCCCAGGAAATCATTTGAGGAATATCTGTCATAATCCCACACAGTAACCTCCAGAGTTTTCTTCTTCAGCTGAGGCGAACACACACACATACAGACATTTTCAGTCAGATGCAGGAAAAAGACAATTCATCAAGTATAAACATCTTTTAACATGAAATATGTGACTCAGTAAACAGCATAGCAATGGCAGCAAAACTGGATCAACTTTAAGAGTTTTTAAGCATGGAATGCCAAGTTTGGATGGGAAAAAATGGGACACATAGGGGATGTGAGTGTGATGTAACTTCCCTTGTGTTTTTGACTACTTTAATTACATGGTAAAGATCTGTGCATATTCCTTAGACTAAATAGGCTATAACCTTATAAAGTTAGAGAGGGAAGAAAGATGAATTCTAATAGAGAGTAAAAAGAGAGAAAAATAGAGAGAAAAGCACACACACAGGGAAAGTTCAATTTTTCATATAGATATGATCTTTTAGAAGAGATATGCAGAACTGACTAGTTTTGAAACAATTTGTTCGAACTGAAATTTACGATCTCCAAATAGGAAATAACTATATAAAATCTGAACATTTATAAGTAAATGCATAGGTACAGAACAGCTATAGATCAGCATTTACAGTAATAAATCTAAACATAAAATGAACATATAAAGCATATTTTAATATAATTCAAAACAACCACATTTTCATGAAATAGAAATCTTTTGTAACATTATAAATGTCTTTACTTGAATGTCTTTACTTAAACTTACTGACCCCAAACTTTTGAACAGTAGTATGAATTTAAATATATGTATATAAATATAATACATATATAATAATAACTACCTTCATAAAATATTTTATAAATAAATAAAACATATATTACGTTTATGATATGACAAAAATAAAAAATATATATAATAATAAAAATACATATATAATAATGTGACATACTTACCTGCTCCAGATGGATGTTTTTATAAATGACGGTCTGGTTCCACTCTGGGTTCTGAGTCTTCTGGACATATTTAATTCTTCTCTTGTTCTCAGCACTGCAAGGTTATCATGTTGAGACAGGATACAAGGAGCAATAAAGTTAGATGATGCATTTCAAAGGTTTACGTAGCATATTTTTAGCCACTTGAGGCTAGTGGAGTTGAGATGACCTCACAAAAGGCAACACCGATGCATCTACGGTCCATGCCACCAATGATGATAATGACATTATCGGATCACAGAGTAAAATGTGGAAAAAATCCAACTTCTACATGAATATATGGGCGATCTATGCAAACATACAATAGCACTAGACTCATTACAATGATTACAATGCTTTTTGCAATGCTTCAATTACAATGAGCTGACGTGAATTTGCACAATGGTAGCATTGCACAACTGTACTTAATATTTACTGGCTTTGAGGGAATGGTTTCAAGAATTTATTGACTTCAAATCAAAAAATTCAGAGGTAGAGGTTGCTTTGAGGTAGATCTGAGACACTTCACAGATGACGCAGTAGGCTTCACCACATGAATGACAGCTAGATAATGAAAGAAAGGAAATCCAAACACACACACACACGCACCAATGAAAAAGCAAAATGAAAAGAAAAAGAAACACCACGCTACCTTGCGTTCTGGACAACCATGACTTGGCTGAACCAATCCGGAGATTTGTATGGAATGCAAAGTAAAAGTAGACAGACAAACAGACAACAGTCAGAGAATCCAAGGAAAGGGGAGACAGAAACCCCTCAAAAAAAGTCGAGGTCCGGGTGGGGTCGTGTCTGTCGGGCTTTTAGCGCCAGACAAAAGAATCATTTGTGCAGGTAATAGGAACTAATCTCATAAACACTGCAGATATGGCCATTAGGAGATAGCAGATATAGCATTACACACCCCATACTGGTGGAAGCCATATCGATTGCGCTGTCTCCGCAGTCCGAGACACTGAGCTTAATTACTAGGTAGCATGTTAAGAGAGGAAGGCTAAGCTAATAAAAATTGAATTCTCTAAGGAAGATCTCTTCCACTTTAGTCTTCCAATAAGTCATTTCTGTACTAAAATGGTGAGGAGTTCTACCCAGGAAGGGAGAACTTTTAGCCCACTGGATATGCCAGTTATTACCGGTAACATTTGTTATTCCGCCATCCAGCGATTCAGTTTATTATTAAACATTTTTTACACTTTCATTCCATTGTAATTATTATGGACTAATGTGTAGAGGGTACAACGGAGCTAAAGATGTACTTGATTTTATTTCGTAGAATCTTGATATTGAAGAAAAAAAAGTGACTTTTGGAAGACTTTTTTAAATTAAGTGACTCAAGATTCAAGTAACTAAAAAAGAAAAATCAGACAATAAATTAACCACAATTACAACATTTATATATGTGGACAAGGACACATAAAATAAATATACATACTGTAGAGATTCTCTAAATCTTTCATTCTTCACTCTTACTGTCACTATAACACTTGCACACACACACACACACACACACACACACACACACACACACACACAGAGCCGTGTACACAGGGATACTCACCCTCTCCCTGGCAAGAGATAGACCTTAACGAAAGGGTCTGTGTATCCGTTGTTTTCTCTAGGAGCGAGGTTTCTTGCTTGTAGCACGTGAACAATCAGATTGCCCATATTCCGGTCATAGTTGATTTGAAGCTGAGTGAAAGATATATTATGAGTTGCAATTTAAATTCAATAAAGCAGTCAATACTGGAGTGAGTCAGTAAGGCTGATAGATCATAATTTTCTATTTTTTTCTACATAAAATGCATCTTTGGGGGCAGTCTTGGCCTAATGGTTAGTGAGTCGGACTTGTAACCCAAAGGTCGCGTGTTCGAGTCTCGGTAATGGCGGGGATTATAGGTGGGGGGAGTGAATGACCAGCGCACTCTCTGCCTCTCTTAATACAGCGCTCTCTTCCACCTTCAATACCACGACTGAGGTGAGACCCTTGAGCAAGGCACCGAACCCCAAACTTCACGGTGTGTGTGTGTGTGTGTGTGTGTTTGTTCACTACTCACTGCTGTGTGTGTGCACTTCGATGGGTAAAATGCAGAGCACAAATTCAGAGTATGGGACACCAAACTTGGCCCCGTCACTTTAAATATTATATTTTAATATTTTAAAAAAGAAATTGGTTTTTAGTGCATTTTTCATTTATTTAAATTAATTCATATTCATAAACATAAAAGTAAAAGAATCCGATTTTTCTTTAACTTCTACACTGCACACTTCTGTAACTTTTCATCCTGCACAATTAGTTTTGCCTGGACATTAAAAAATAAATAAGAAAATAAATAAATTAAGAAATAAATAAAATATAAAGAACTGTTCTGTCACAATAGATATTCCAAAGTCACTTACATGATGTTTACATTATGTTTACAAAATTGTGATTTATATAGTTAGCTGCCTTATTCAGATATGTAGAAATGGGAATAATGAACACAGCCAAAACACAATCATATTATTCAAATTAATTTTAGAATATACTAATATGTATAAATTTGTTCATTGTGAAATTGGTGCACATACTCACTTGTATTTCACCAGTGATTGGATGCGGTTGTGGCTTCAGAACCTCTGCTGACTGAAAAACAAAATAATGGAAAATAAATCCCTGTCTGCTTTAAATCTAGTTTGCAGTTCCAAAATTTAGACACATTTGATGTATGCTCTATATACATTATGTGGCATCTTCCTGCACACTTTTACACATACAGTACCTTGCTACTATGACGCTTCTTGTTGACAGAAGGGGACCCGGGTTGCCCAGGGCTGGGGACCCCACTTGAAGCGGCTGATCCGGTGCCAGAGTGCAAGTGTCCCGCTCTCTCCAGAGCAGACAGCACGGAGGCAGGAGTCTGCTGCTGCGATACCTTCTGCAGCTCTGCAGCCAGCTGCTTTGAGTCAACACCTGGAGAACGCTGACGCTCACCTACAACACAAACACACACAACAGCTATAACACAAAACAAACCCTTTTCAACCTACTGATCAATAAAGACACCTTTGCCACGGTCAGGAGTACAAGAATTTTGATGCACACAAACCATCCTAACACACAGATTCATGACCTGGGGTTAAAATCAGAAAGCTGTAGGAAAGGAAGTCACAGCTTCCAGTTAAAATAACAGATTAACTTGTCTTATGTCATGCATGCATGCATGCATATTGGCTGGACTTGGATCTTGTCTTTTTTTTTTAGTCTGCTTAAGCAGCTAAATTTTGATACCATTGAAAAATGTTATTGAAACAAGCTTAGCCAGTTTTTTTTTGTCTTTCCCCATTCAAGTATTTAAGAGTCTGCACATGGCCAAGATGGCTGCAGAGTAGACCGGCTTTACCTAAAGGTACTTTTTTTGTGTGTGTAAAAAGCTTATTAAAGGGATCACAAAATGTTGGAGACACTCACCAGCTCTCAGCTGAGTATGGAGCTCCAGTTGTTGAGGGTGTTCTGTGTTGGAGAGCATGTTTAGGTCTCTAAACAGCAGTCAAGATAACTGTATTAGCATACTGGCTTAAAGACCACAATTTGACCATATTTGACAGTTAAATCGATGTCTCACCATTCAGCATTAAATAAGACAGTCTAGAACCTGAAAAGTTATTTCAAGTCTAATTGTGTGAAATTATATGTTCTTACAAAAATGCACTGAACTACCATGGTACAGTGAGGGTATCTGCTGGTAAACCATGGTCCTTAAATATATACCATATTCATATATTGATAATAACAAATGTTTCTTGAGCACCAAATCAGCATATTATCATGGTGGGCTAGATTAAGTCTCAAACATTGAATACATTATTGAAACATACAGGCGCAAACATATTTCTGCCTCTCCATACTGCTGACCCACAATGCTTTGCACTTCTTCATATGTCTTTCCCAGCAAAGTGATTCCATTCCACTCCAGAACCTGCATTCCTGAGGAACACAACACGTCATCAGAACCAGTGAGTGAAATACATTTATTAGGTTAGAATAATAAAAACAGACACTCACAGACAGTGCACCTTAGCCAAAAGTAAACATTATTTGTCTGCAGATTGTTATGGAAAGTATTAAAAAGAGGTGTTGTTTATAAAAGTCGCCAACTGTATGATTATTTTTAAAAACCTCAAATCTAGAGCCAAAGTTTGGATTCTGTATACTCTATATTGGGGAAACATCAAAAACTATTATGATAGATTCACACACAGATAGAAAGATATACAGGTGCATCTCAATAAATTAGAATGTCGTGACACACACACACACACACACACACACACACACACACACACACACACACTTTTTCAATAGCATGCTTCCCTGAGCACTTCACTCACTACAACGAAACAGTCCTGGAGCTTCAGAGACCGAAAACAAGTGCAGAAAACAGAGAGAGAGAAAAAACAATTTAAAAGCATCACTGCAAACTCAAGCCCACTTCAGGCCAAACCCCGAGCACTTACACAAATGAAAGCGAGTCTTCAGATAGGTCTTTTGCATTCGGAGTGCTTCAGCGGCTGATAACAACAAGACATTATTCAAATGTCTGTTCATCTCTACACAATCAGTCTCTTTAGTTTCCACTCAAAAACCTCTCAAATGTTCAGCAAGTCATCATCTCCATATTACTCTGCAAGATTACCACTAAGCCAAAATCAGTATTTCAGCTTTGAAATTAGTATCTGAATGATTTGTGCATAATTGGGATTGGATTCGGTTCATTTGTTGAAAATACTGTGTGCTATAAAAGGGAGCATCTTCAAAAGGCTTTAATGTTAGAAATGATGTCATATTTCCCATTTTTATTCATTAAATGTTTACCTCATTTACTGTACCAACATATACTGTAGATAATTATGGTCAAAATGATAAAACATGAACCCTTATTTTGCCCATGTGTTACTGATTCACTGGCTAAATATGGAAGATCCCTGTTGTATTCAATACATACATGCATACTTCGTGTTTCTAAGTTGAAGCATTTGCATATGAGTATGCATTGTGCAATTGTGCATTCATTCAACTCTTGGCCCAAATAATAATATCGCTACAGCTATCAGATATTAAATCTGCTCTCTAGCACATTTTCCACTGTGGCAGCAGACATTATACTGTATCAAGAGAAACGCATACTTAAGACTTAAGAACAGATGCTTGTGTAATTTGCCAGCAGATTGTTGCTTGCATATTTCAGGGATGAAACAAAAAAGTAGACAAAAGATTTGGCACTATAAAGGAAACATTTTAATATCAAGAGTCTTAAATCATGAGTTACGAAAGAATAAAAATCAAATAAGCAAAAACATGTTCAGGAAGCTGAGCTTTTCTCACAGGGGCTCATCTAAATTGACAAGAGCATGCTGAGCCAGCATTCGTCAACAAGGAGAGCAATCATACCACAACAATAGCATCCTGGTTAATATGAGAAATGGTCTTTAAAATTAGGTACTTTTCCCTTTGAAAGAATACTGAATGCTTAAAATGAATGAATTTGCTGATGCTTGCTTTTTTTAAAACACTTTATAACGTGACCTTTTAAGAATTGAAAAATGCATGAATGTAAACTTTTTTTTAACCACATTTGCTTATTTATTGCATCTCTTTTGCTTATTTAACCCCTTACTGTCTGTAAGAGAATTTAACTCGCTAATGTTATCAGATTGACTAATTCGAAAGTTCTTACCTTCAACAACTTTTCCCGTATGCTCAGCACAGCCCCCTGCTGAAACATTGGCAATGTAGGCTCCGATCTCTCTGTTGGTCCCTGGAATCTCTTTTCCACCCACAACTCTGATTCCCAGCCCACTCCCTGAATTCAAACGAGTTCAGTTCAGCTGATGAATGACTTGAGTAATTGGATCCTAGTCAGAGCATTTCAGTATCATTTCAAACACGATCGCTTCATCAATATGACTTCCACGAGATCCAGTAATTCCAGTAATTTAATTTGCAGGCCTAATTGGCTACATTTCGCTATATGTATCTTGTGGAGTAATTGCTATGAAAACATACCTGAGACGGTGTGGTCCTTAGGGTCCCGTTGCAGTTTGATGCGAGTGTGTGGGAAGGGGTAATGGCTGCCTTTCATCTTTAACAACGAAAACAATCCAAATGAATGAACAGTAGTTCTAACAGCGCTTTTGCAATAAGTACATGTATGCAGATGTAGTTTGGTGTTCTTTCAAAGATAGGTGCAGTATATTCATGTGTTTGCATGGTGACTGTGGTTTAAGTAGAACATGTTCCTGGAATAACATTCGGTTTGTAGGGTTAACCTTACAGTTTGGGTTGTGGCTAAAACATCCATTGATATTGACCTATAACTCTACTACTCTACTCTACAAGCTATGGTTTTTGATGGGTATGTTATTCCAGGATCAACAAAAGTTTCCAGGCACACATCCTACTTGGCAAAATCACATTCACCCTGTAGGTGCCACTTTACCGGTCTCTCTGCCCCGGCTTCTGGTCCACCACGTCCCTGGCGGGGTTTGTCAAACCAGTCTGTCTCTTCGTGCTGAAGGTGATATGCTAAAAGACAGGAAGAAAGCATCCGCTGTACCATCACAAGTGACAAAACTGGGCCATGTGTCCCACTCCACCACTTTTCTCCCAGACAACCATCCCTTCACCACCCCCAGTTGGGGACACTCCTTTGCTAGAGTGTTTGAACTGACAGCTTGATGGATTTGGGTCAGGGCTTCCAAGAACAAAATCTATGGTTTAAATGGGTTGGACACTAACCTCCATTCCACAAGGCCTCAAATCAAGAGTTTGTTTAGATAAATGCTACATGTACTAAGCACCCTGACCCCAGGGGAAGCAGTGACAGAGGATGGTGAAGGCAGAAAAAGCAAGGATCTGAGACGTGTGTCGAGGCATGCACACATGAACATGCATGCTGTGTCTCTTCCAGACCGGGCTACATGTCATGCGTCGAGAATTTGATAGAGAACTGCTGTGGGACCGAACCACAGCAGAAACACGCACATACACACACCATCATACAACAGTGTGATGATGAGATGCCTTATCAAATGTCTAATGATTAGTACGTTTTCTGTTAGTACACTCTCTAGTAAACTAGTTAGCATATACAAGAAAAACACTACTCAAACAAAACCACATATTTTGTTCTATAAAACCAGACTTTCACGATGCTAAAACAATTCACTTATTTCAAACTGCAATCTGCACGCCAGAACGGTTTCTTAAGTAGTGTTTTCACCTTGTTTTTCAGTCAAAAGATAAATTTAGTTGAGACACAAAATTGTGTAACAAATCCAAAACTAAATCATTTTAAGCACAAATTTCATTAAATTGTGTTCGATTCGTGCTTAAAATAATGGGTATGCTCTTAAAATAAAGGTTCTAAGAAGAGGGGTTTGTAGTGATGCCACAGAAGACCCATTTTTGGTTTCCTAAAGAACCTTTCAGTGAACAGTTCTTAAACACAATTTTTTTTTCTTAGTGTGAAGTACATTTTAATAATCTGAAGGACCTCTTGTACAATGGAAAGATTCCAAGGATGTTAAAGGTTCTTTATGGAACATTCAATGCCAATAAAGAACCTTTATTTTTAAAAGTGTAAGAAAAATTTAAGCAATCAAAGATGTATTTCTAAAATATGCAATTTTGGCTCTCAAGTAAACTAATCTTGTTTTGTCTTAAGAATGTTTAGATATTTTAATTGTAAAAACAACAAAAATACCAATTAAGACAAGGATTTTTGCAGTGTACTTGTTCTCGCCTACAGAGTTGCAATGCTAATATGTTAGATTTGCATCCTTCAAGACTGTACATAGGCCTGCTGCTGTTTTCCAGCTTCTATTTCAAGTAGTCTAGCACTTTCTTCAAATGCATTGGGAATTCCTAGAATAATTCATAACTCAAGCTAGGGCAGACATGTCAGCACATACCTAAAATAGATCAGGCGAGCAATACCTTTTGTTTTGTTTACTCTGTAGTATGCACAACCTGCAGGTGCCTTGATTACAATACTGTGTAAGCGAAGCATTTTTTATTCATGAGGCAGCACTACAGTGCGCCACAAATCTTCTGCTACAGTATGCACACATATGCACTCATGTATGTAGACGTGTATGTGCCCTGGTTGATATGATCAGGCCATGTCAGAGAGACCTCGAGGAAGTGCAGTGATAATGAACACCAGGATGGGTCTGAGGTGCACTACTGAGAAATGCCCGTCACTCAAGACTATGACACGCATGAAAGTAGGTTTATGCTTAATGATATTTTGAGGTTGTTGAACAGCAGTTCTCACCTTTCACATTCCAGCTAGGACCTCCAGCTGTAGTGCAAACATTGTATTTCAGAGAATTCATAGTAAAATTAGCCTTAAAACAGAGCTATGTTTTGCCAATAAAAAAAAAAAACACTGTTATATTTGCAGTGCAAGTGAATGATGTACTTTTGCAAAGATCTAATTCATGCATTTTCTAAAATACATAAAGCACACCATTGTAGTCAGTAATTTAATCTAGAGAGCCTTTTAAATAAATTCTGCATTCTGTAAGGTAGCCCAATAAAAGTAATGATAATTCTATATAATAATATTTATAAGATGTGCAAAAAAGTTTACACAAAGCTATACAGGCAATTATTTGTTTAGCAATATTGGCATTAGTGATCTTAAATAAATGCCCCAGGTTCAAAACGAACTAAGCTCTAGTGACAGTATTTATGGCATATTTGCAGAAACCACATAAAATGTGTGTTAAAGTCAAATGGATGGTTTTAAAACAGCAGTTATTTATTACTTCAGCTTGCTTATACAAACTGAGACTACTGAAAGAACTTTTTGAACCTTGAATGTTTCTTTGACTGTAAACATAAGCAAAGCTAAATAGGTTGCTTCAGAAACACAAATCATTTCTGATATTCTCAAGACAGAGGCTGGGGTCACGTCTGTACAAACCCAGCAGAGCATTTAGTGTTGTAAACCAACATATAGTCACACTTTGCACTGTTTATTTATACCATCTTTACACCTGGCTTATGTTAAACTTCTCAAACAGATTGATGTTCAACACAATATTACACTCTAGAGAGGATTTTAAAATGTTTCTCAATGCTGTTGTCTTAATGGCATTAAGAACGGCATGAAAGCATGAAGATCAAAACTATGTTTTACAATAAATTTGAATGAAGCATTATATTCATTAGACAAATAATTTGTGTAATGATCTCACATAATACCTATAAGACTGGCCTTCAAAACACTTTAATACCTGATTTTAAATACTAATACTTGCGAAATGTTCACTACTTTAAAAATTACAAAATATATGATATAGTTCAAAATGTATAAAACACACAGAAAGAGAATTAATACAATATTCACTGAAAAAAATATTATTCTTCATGTAACATGCAAGATGTTTTTAAATTCCCATGTAGATGAAAATTTAAATTTAAGAGGATGACATCATACGAATGTGACAGACTGCAAAGTGTAAAGCAAAATTCTGAGACAAAAGATGAAAAAAGAAAAGGAAAATGTAACAGCTGAATTGACACAGATTTAAGTAATGCATTCAAAGCCATACAAAAGATGCATATCAACAAAAGCTGGGGTTGAAGATAACAGATCTCATAACAAATTTACCTTCGCTATCTGACATGGCCCCCTGAAGGTCATCCTTTATAAAGGCAATGTCCCGTTTATAGCCACTTGTCCTGGACTCCTCTCTCATGTGCTGTTGGACTTCTGGAAGAGAGTGACTGGAGCCAAACTGGTCCCGTGAGTCTGCTGAGATGGGTGGGAGTGGGCCTGCAGATGCCCTGGCCATGCCCATGGGTTGACCTACAGGGCTCAGTGGACTCTCCTCTTCAGAGTTTTGTGCAACAATGGGAATTCGACCCCTGCTCTGACTAATTGGCAGACTTGTTGGTTTAGCCCTAGATACAAACTGGGAATCCATGCCCTCACCCTAAAAAAAAAAAAAAAAAAAAAAAAAAACGAAATGGCAAGAATTTATTGAGGATGAAATTTGGAAACACCCATTACAGACATTAACATCACATGAAGAAAACTGTTAAACAAGTGAGTTAAAAGTAGTAGATTTGGAGGTAATGGAAAACTAATCTCCAGTGAATGCATGTTATAACCAGATTAACTTCATGAAACTTTGACTAAACTTGTATAAACAGAGTCTCTCATTTAATTTACAACTTTTTATCATCACTTGTCAAAAGCACAGATTTGTCTATTTTATTGTCCACAAGGACAGAAAAGGGGAAAACATAAATCCACAACATTAATTTAGTCCAATCAATGTGATGACTGACATGCTTGCATTTTTGCAATATGAAATATTCTGGATTAATGAAAACAAGACAAACTAAACCAGCTACTCACATGAATATATAATTTGAGAATGTCTTCACAAGAAGACAGAGTTTAATTATGATTTAAATAAATGGCTTAGTATCCCATAGCTGCTGGAAAGATAGTGAAAGATACTGACAGCTTGTAGATGAATTTATATTCTATAGCCACTAAATGATTCTGACAATATTACAGGATGTTGTAACTTCATAGATTGAAGGCAGAACAGTCTCCTCGTCAGCTGCAGGGCTGTGATAAATAGCACAGGCACTGAGTGTATAATGAATTAAAGTAGCTGAATGAATAGTTATGAA